CATCGAGCCATCCGTCGCTGCAGGGTGAGCCATCCATTCGCAGGGTGATCCTTCGCTTTCGCCTTCAGCACAACGCCGTTCACAGGTAGATTCATGCTACAGGCACGTTGAAGAATCTAAGCGAGGAGAACATCTTCCAAGCCCTTATGAGCAGCCATTCGCATCTTCAACTCGGAGCAAAATCATCATCACTGGGTGCAGCGGTTACCCGCGCACTATCCTTTATGATGCCAGATAGCGTGCTCTTAACAATTTCAAACTTTCGTGCGATTTCAGTTTTCGAAAGCTTGTCAGCTTTCACTTCAGCCAATATCTTCACTTTTTTTTTTTTTTAAGCGCGATTAGCTTTCTGTGAAGAGTTGGCTTACTGGCCATTTTCAACAGGCCTAGCGAGGCGAGGCACACAAAGCGCAAGAGACGGCCTAGCGAGGCGAGGCACACAAAGCGCAAGAGACAGCCAATGTGCGACAGCTGGCGGCTCAGCGCAGAGAGAAAACTCGTTTTCTTAGCAGTGGCAAGATAGGAGATGTGGACTAAACTGGCTTGCCCGCACTCCGAAACGACATTAGTCAAGAGAGCTGCTCCGTTTAGAATAGAAAGACTCTGTCGTAGTTTTTTTTTTTTTTCGTCCTGTTTGCTTTCTGCATTTTACTTTGCGGCCACCGTACACTTTTTTTGTAGCTTTTTCGTCGGCTCCACGGGTCAAAGGGAGCTGCAAGTGGTAGCTCGCTCCCTCCTTCCCTCCGCCAGCCGTGGCACGGGTTTGTTTTGGGCGTTTTTTTTTTCTATTGCTGTTTTTTCTCCGTTCGCTTTGTTCACGATCGCAAAGCGAATTGCCAGTGGTGGCGGCCTTCACTAAAATGTTCGTCTTAACAAGATGGTGGGTATAAGGCTGTTCATATTAAGCAGATTTTTTTTTTTTTTTTTTGCATTGGATTTATGGAAACCAAACAAATTTTCTCACATTTATCATAAGCGAGAATTCGTCTTAAACAACTTAATTTTAGCGGGAGTTCACTGTATTGTTTTCTGTGCATATAATTTGCTGTTCCACTCAAATACCCGATGGTCGCTGAAAGTGCATCTACTGAATCAGAGGGGCACTGTAGGTCAAACATCTAGTATTTTCTGAAAGGAGCAAAGTTACTAGCGCTAAATGCATTTGGTGCAGTCAAAAAAGGACTCAAAGTGCTAGTACAGTAAAAGCTCGTTAATTCGGATTTTACGGGACCTGAAAAACTGTCCGAATTAACCGAATGCCGAATTAACGAATGAAGGGAAAACAACATTTAAAATCAAGCTGCAGAAGCATACCTTTATTTGTTGAAGTATTTTGTAATTGTCTGCGTTTTCGCGCAGATTCCGGCTGACATCACAATTTTTCTTAACTGTTCCAAATGGCCAACAGCACGCAAGCCGTCGGGAGTGTTCAGGCAAGCGTCCTCTAATATTAACAGCGCCTCCGAGACTTCCCATGAGGTGCGATGAGGTCGCGGCTGTATCTCCTCGCATGATTCTTCGTCGGAATCGTGGTCTTCATGGGCGCCCGTGACGTCATTAATAATCTCTTGATCGGTCAGGAGACCACTCGTGGCGACACCATGATCAATCACGATGTAGTCCTGAAAGGTCACATCTGTGGGAAGGACAGCCTCGAAAATCGGGCAGTCATCGTCGGTGGACTCGGCTGACACCTCCTCGATGCCATCGTCAGCTACTGCTGCATGCTCGGGCCTCACAAAACCGCTGTGCCGAAAACAGTTGGCGATGACTTGCGGCGGAGTGTTTTTCCACACGTGGGCGATAATTTGCACTGCGCCGAGTAAGTCCACTTGATATAGCTTCTGAGCATAGGATCATTTGCTCTAGCAGGTGCTTGCGGTACTTCGACTTCACATAGTGAATGATACGCTGGTCCATCGGCTGAAGAGCAGACGTAGTGTTGGGCGGCAAAAAAACTACTTTGATGCTCTTCAGTTCGACTGTACAGTTATGGGCACTGAAGTTGTCAACAACCATAATTATCTTGCGGTCCTTCGACGTGAAGTGCCGGTCCAACTGCTGCAGCCAGCCGCGAAAAATGTCAGATTTCATCCATGCCTTCCTGTTCGCTGTGTACTCGACAGGAAGGCTTTTGACGTTCTTAAAATAACGTGGCCTAAGCGCCTTCCCGACGACAAGTAGTGGCAAGCGCTCCGTGTCAGTCATATTGGCGGCAAGAAGCACAGTTATCCTTTGCTTGCACTTCTTGCCACCAATGCACGCGTCCCCTTTGAAAGTCATCGTCTTTTCGGGCAGAGCTCTGAAAAATAGAGCAGTTTCATCTGCATTGAACACGTCATGTGGTTCATATGCGGCGATGTGCTCCAGCAGCTTCACATTTCTCCACTCGGTGGTCACGCTTTCGTCAATGCTGGCTTTTTCGCCGCACACACTCCTGAAGACAAGTTCGTGTCTCTCTCGAAACCTCGCAAATTACCCTTTTGACGCTTTGAACGATTCAATGTTCATCATTGCAGCGTACTTCTCACCTTGCGCCATGATGAGAGGTCCGCTCAAAGGCAGATGCGCGTTGCGACAGTCAGTAATCCACCGGAGCAAAGCTTCTCTGAGCTGGGGATAAGCTGCGGTACGTAACCGCTTTCTAGAGGCACGAAACTTCTCGCTTTCGAAGGCTTGTCGAATCTGTTGTTCATTTTTCACGTACGTTCCCAACGTGCTCCGCTTCACGTTGTACTTGGTCATAACCTGCTGTCGCGATTCGCCGTTCTTCAGTGCTTCCGAAATTTCCACTTTAGTCGCCAAGTTCTTCGCGTCGTAGTTCTGCCGCTTTTTCGGCGTTGCCATCACTGTAGCGCACGATGGTGGTGGCATGCAAATACAGTCACAATGGAAGAAAAAGAGAACTCCGCAAGAAGAGATGGTTCCGACACGACAACACAAGGGAAAATGTCGTCGGAGGCGCTGAGTCACGGAGGAAGGAAAGGTAGGAGAGGGCATGCCCAGCCAGCGCTGGGCGTGAAAAGTATGGCGGAAATGACATCATGGCGGCCATATTCACTAGGCACAATGGCGGTGTTGCTATGGTTACGTGTTGCGCAGTGGAGCTGGTCTAGCAGTGAGCGGCCGCGGCTGGCGGTGGAATGTGCGCCTTCCCAGGTCTCGTGCTGAGCCGTGGCGGACAATATCTGTGCTCTGCGCCGCGTTATTGGTTACGGAGTGTTCTCCTGGCAGTTACATTTCTCTTAGCAACGTTTACAAATCCTTTTGTCCATCACGGGGTTTCAACAGTGTGTAGAACAAGTGCATATCCATGTGTCGTGCGGCGGATGACGCGGATGAAGCAGTTAGTGTTCAGCGAAATTGCGTTGGGCACCATGACGATGCTGAATGACGACGAACGTCTTGTAGGTCAGTGACGGTTGAGCCGTGCTCCTGCTTGTGACAACGGTCGACGCTGTTGAGCCCAGCAAGACGTCATGAGGACCATGTGCACATACGTAGTTTCGTCTTGTGTATGTACAGTAACAACTTGCATGTGCGTATTAAAACACCTTTTCTGTTCCGCTTGGTACACTCTCCACCAGCATTGCATGTAATCTCCGCGTAACAGCAACAGCGTTCAACTGTCACTAGCACCGTGCTCAAAGTCACCACGGTCGCAGAATGCTGACGCCAGTGAGTTTCACGCGGAACACGGACACAGTGGCAGGACGCTGCGTCGGCCGTGTGGCGGAATGCAACCGTAGAAGGCGCACGACCGATCGTGTTGTCTGTACAGTTGCTGAATTAATGACGTGAAAGCACTCGCCGTTGTCAGTGCATCTAGTGCGTGTTCTCTCGTAGTTGCTTCGTTGTCGGCGAGCTGTTACTTTCTGTTATTACTCGGAAGAAGCGATTTCGCTGAAGGTGTCCCGATGGCTCACAGTGATGAGCCCAGTTCCATTAGTTTCGGATCGTCACGACACCACGCTCTGCGCAGCCCACGTGCTTTCTGAGCCGGAGAGGGAGTCGCGTTTTCTGCTTAGCATTCATATGTAAATAAGAGAGGAGAATTTGCCTAGTCAATATGGCCGACTTCCGGCTTCATCGCGGCTTCACGAGTGACGTCAGGGCCTCTCCTTACCTTTCCTTCCTCCGTGCGCTGAGTGGAGAAGAAAGAACACGCCGACGTTCATGACGCTGCGATCGCCCCCACTAGTTGATGATGGTGGCGATGCCACTCATGTTTCGGTTTCACTCCAGTGGTGCCAGTGCTGCTTTATCACACTTTTGTGTAGCAGCAGCTGTCAGCATTTGTCCGAATTAAGCGGTGCGGAGCCGAATTCCGACGAAATAACGAAGGTTTGGTCCCATAGATTAACATGCACTTTGGCCGGGACCAATAGAGCTGTCCGAATTATCCGAATTTCTGAATTAACAGGTGTCAAATTAACGAGCTTTTACTGTATGAACGCTGCTATAAAGAGAACTATGTTTCCATAAACGCCAGCGAACATGCCCTGTACGTGTGGCTTTCTGAACATCAAAGAAACAACAAGGTGGCAGTCAAGAAAGGGTTCTTGCGTGTTGTATTACTTCAGGGAACAAGTATCTAAGATAAACAAGTTCATGCTAAAGAGCAGACGAGCAGGTGATATGACGCGAACGAAAACGCCTCGAGGGGCTTTTGCCTTTCTCAGTGGCTAACAAGCCCTGCAACTTCCGCAGTGCTGCAAGGTACTGCTGAGTTGGAGTATAGGTGGTAGAATGGCTGGCATTTAATAGAGATAAGTTCTTGGTTTTATTTCTGTACAAACACAAATTTTCAATTCTTCAACTGTGCCCCCCCCCCCCCCCCCGCCCCTCTTATGGGTTTCATTCACATTTCCATTAAAAAAGAAAGGTTCATAAAGGTAATTTAGTTTTGCTTTTTATAAACATTCCTTAAGTTGTAGAGCTGCTTTGTATAGTTGTGCAAATGTTGTGAAATGAGATTGTTTGCTGTGTGTTTTGTGCAGACTGATGGGCTGCCAGGGCTTGCTAGAAGATGTTCCAGGCCGTCTGCCTCGAGCACAAGTGGCAGGGATGGGAGCTGATCTGCGAAGCAGCCTTGTTCGGGCTACAGGTCGTGGCTTCTCGGGGCGCAACTCTTCTCGCTCCTACAGCATAAAAGAAGAAACATCTAGTAAGTTAATATGTAGGGTTCTTCCACATAGAAACAGCGCTTAAGTAGTACAGCTAAACCATCATGTAATGAACTTTATAATGAAATTCTCAATATAGCAAACTATTTAGCTGTACATAACTATGTCTAATAATGGTATCTCGAGTAGACCCATTTAACGAGACTGGAAAAGAAGGGACCGTTAAAATATGCTGTGTTTTACAAGAGTTTGTTTTCTGAGAGATGAACAGGGATGCTGAATGCAAATACAGTTGAAATGCACGTTAACGTAATCGGGGTGGGTGGGGTGGGGACAAAAAATTTCACTTGTGCAGGAATTTCGCTGCCGTGAATGTGGCAGGAAAGACTGGGAATAAACTAGAGACATTTTAAAGCCAAAAGTCAATAAGCTTACTTCATCGAGTAAGCTTGCAGCAATTTTACAGCTTTTGACTTGTATTGTAAAAATTGGTCCATTGCAACGTCGTTAGTGCTCGCCGAAAACTGAGCAAATTGTGTCCAGGGCATTCAACACGTCCTAAGGGTCGCTCTTATCTCCGGATGTTCCGATCTTGGATCACCAGGATCACCCATCGCGGACACTCTACCAAGTCGCACCGGGCGCACACTGAGACTTCTACTGCTTCACACATGCAACCATGTGAATGCACAACGGGTACGCAAAACCAACCAAGACAACAAACGAGACTCCATGTAGATGCAAATTTGGCTACGTAGTCCGTGATTACGAGTCAGCATGACAAGGCGTTTCCGCGTCAGCCCATTAAAGTATTAACACTTGCCCACTACAAAATAGAGAAAATAACCAGAAAGAATGAAATTAAGAGGCAAAAAAGGGTGACGTGACGTGGAGAAAGAAAAATAGATAGCAATAACGAGGAAAAGGTCAGAAGACTTGCAGAGAAAAATATTGAAAAAAAAAATGGCAGAAAATGCTCAAGGAGAGAAATAAAGGGAAACAAAGAAAACAGGAAAACGTAGCAGAGAAAAAAGGGAAGGAAGAGCGACATGCTCCTCTCTTTCTTCAGGTTCATCACTAGGGCGAAGTTGCGATATATATATATATATATATATATATATATATATATATATATATATATATATAGAAAGAAAACTGGGTGAAAAAATAACTTGCCGTGAGCAGGAATCGAACCTACGACCTTCAAATTGCGTAGTTCAAGTTAATTTTTCGCCCACTTTTCGTTCTTATTTACATTCATTGGTTCTAATAACTTCCCCTATACATTCCTTGGCATTATTCTCTGTAGAATCTCATTAATATTGTGTCAAAACACGGGAAAACAAGTAGATGTATATATATTGTAACGAGACGCTGAAGAAATACGACAGCGAGAAAGACTACATGATTCTGGGATGTGGAGCACGCTCTCGCTTGCCATCTCGGCTTAGGCTTGGTGTCGTGCAAATATATCTTAGCTGTAGCCTCGTTTCTCTGTGTGCTCTCCCGTAACATTTCGGTGGAGGTGCTGGGTAGCAAAGCACGACGGAGCTTCGCAGCGGACGCCAATTTGCCGCTTCTAACATGCCTACCACAGGGATGATGCGCCAACAGCCATGCCTTGGCATCAATGGCACCCACCTCACCTGTTGTCATTATGACCACTCCACCCTGCAATCCTGGCAACGTTTCGGGCACTGACGGCGAAGACGTCAATGAGTAACTTCAATTCTACGAGCTCGTAAGTGAAAACCACAGATGGGACCCAACCATGATGCTGGCAAACCTTATCTTTTACTTGAAAGGTACAGCCAAGGCGTGGTTCAACAACGCAAAAGAGCTCACCGGCTGGGACATCTGTAAGACGAAGTTGCGCGAGTTGTTCGGCCAATCTGCCGGGTGCCAGCTGGCCGCTAGGAAAGAACTTGGTAACCGTGTCCAGACATCCACGAAGTCTTACCTGGCCTATACTCAAGATGTCTTGACCCTCTGCTGTAAAGCTGATAACGCCATGATCGAAGCCGACAAGGTTGCGCTCGTACTCAAGGGCATCGCTGATGATGCCTTTAGCCTCCTTGTTTTTAAAGGCTGTTCGACAGTTCAAGATGTCATTAAGGAGTGCGGACACTTTGAAGAGGCTAAGATCCGTCGCATTGCCCACCACTTCACTTGTCTTCCTAACACCGCCGCAACGTCAACTTGCGAGGACCTCCGTTTTGAGACCCAGCCCAATCCACCCTCTGCTGACATTACGTGGGTCATTCGACGCGAAATCGAAGCGATGTCACCAGCACCCTTGAGGGTCCTGACGCCGGATGATCCTCAGCTCACCATACCCTCATACAGAGCGTTGTGTGCCAAGAATTGGCAAACGCGAACCTTCAGACGATCTGTTCTGTGCACCGACCCGATGTCCATCTGCCTACCTTGAACACCCGTCAGCACTACCGGCGTCCTGCTCCACGTAACCGAGATCCCAACGCATAGAAGACGGCTGACGACAGTCCAATTTGCTTCCGTTGCAAACGAATGGGACACATTTCGCGTCATTGCCGAAACTCGTGGACCTCACCCTCGTGCACAAGCCCAAACTTCACGAACTTCGACGCATCGGCTCGCTCTTCTGGCCAAGAACCACCCCGCCGTGATGACTCAGCTCATTACGACATGCCCACCACGACCAATGCTCAGTACAGCCGCTCGCCTTCAGCACGACGTAGATTCTCGCGGTCTCCTTCGCCACCCCGTTCTCCATCCTCGTCCTTCAGCCGACAATATCCTTAGGGAAACTTACTGGTGCAGCTCCTGGAGGAGAGGCTGCTGCAACGACTTGCCCTACAATTCCCCTGTTGACCCTCCCGACCAACCAGAACTTGATTGATGTAAAAGTGGATAGTTTATCTGCTAAAGCTTTAGTCGACGCTGGCGCCCATATTTCTGTTATGAGCTCGCACATTCGTGACCACTTAAAGAAAGTCTTGACTCCAGCCCCTTCATGCTGTGTTCGTGTTGCTGACGGCAGTGCAGCTGCCGTCGTTGGTGTCTGCACAGCACGCGTTACTATAGCCGGCCATCAAACCTACGTCCTCTTCACTGCCAATGCACCAATGATGTTATCTTCGGTCTAGACTTTTTGTCCGCCCATTCGGCCCTCATTCACTGTTCAGCTAGCACGGTGCAACTTGACCTGCCCTGTACGACTGATACGCCCTGTCCGCCCCAAGTTCGCCTCTGCTCTGCTGAACATGTCCGTTTGTCACCGCAACAGTTACCTGCATTGCCGAACAGCGTCGCCACCTGTACCTGATAAAGACTACGTGCTCACGCCCATCACATCCGTACTTCTGACTCGCAGTGTTACTTTTCTGCACACTATTATTACGTTTCGGGAAAACCGTGCTTGCATCTCCTTGCTGAACTTTGCTCTGTGTCCACAAGTGTTTCCGTGTGGAATAGCCCTCACCACGCTGACACCCTCTGAGGATTGCGTCATCTCAGCTTTGTACCCCAATGATGTGCGTCGCCCGAACTGCACGCAAGCCTGTTGTTCGGCAGATTCCACCTTCTAATGTGGAAAAAATGATCGCAGTGAACCTTTTGCCGCATCAAACTGATGCGCTCCGTCACGTCCTGGAATCGTACTTGGACGTATTCGACTTCTGTGACCGTCCGCTAAATCAAACTAGCATTGTGAAGCACCGCATTAACACCGGCGATGCATCTACGGTACATCGACGGCCGTACCGCGTTTCTCCTGCAGAGTGTCAGATCATTCAAAAGGAAGTCGAGAAGATGCTCGCCAATGACATAGTTGAGCCATCTTTCAATCCATGGGCTTCCCCTGTTGTTCTTGTGAAGAAAAAAGACAACAGTTGGCGATTGTGTGTTGACTAATGACATCTGAACCGGATAACTAAAAAAGACGTCTACCCGCTACCGCGCATTGACCTTCGCTCAGGGTACTGGCAAATTGCTGTCGATGAGATGGACCGTACGAAGACTGCTTTTGTGACCCCTGATAGTCTTTACCAGTTTAAGGTCATGCCGTTCGGATTATACAATGCTCCAGCCACCTTCGAACGAATGACAGGTTCAAGTGGTCAATTTGCCTATGTTACCTAGACGACGTCATTGTATTTTCCCTGACCTTTAAAACCCACCTCGACCACCTTTCCTTCATCTTTTCTGTTTTTTGTAACGCAGGGTTGCAACTGAACTCATCGAAGTGCCACTTCGGACGCCAACAAATAACCATGTTGGGCCATCTTGTCGGCTCCTCCGGCGTACGCCCTGATCCTGATAAAGTTCGAGCTGTGCAAAACTTCCCCGTCCCAACCAGCACTAAGGAAGTCCGCAGCTTTTTAGGTCTATGCTCTTACTTTCCACGTTTTGTAAACAATTTTGCAATAGTAGCCCGACCTCTTACAGACTTGCTGAAGAAGGATGTTCCATTCCCTTGGGGCGCTGCGCAGGCTTCGGCATTCTGTAATCTCATCACATTGCTTACAACACCTATTCTGGCCCATTTTGACATGTCTGCCCCAACAGAAGTCCACACTGATGCCAGCGGCCATGGAATCGGTGCTGTTTTGGTCCAGCATCGCAGCGGCTGCGCCCGCGTTATCTCATATGCCAGCCGTCTGCTCTCTGTAGCCGAGTGGAACTACTCTATCACTGAACGGGAATGACTTGTTCTAGTTTGGGCTGTTGGCAAATTTCGGCCCTACTTACATGGTCGTCGTTTCACTGTCACAACTGATCACCACGCCCTCTGCTGGCTCTCGTCGTTAAAGGATCCCACTGGGCATCTTGATCGCTGGGCACTACGGCTCCAAGAATATGACTACTCAGTGTCTGGCAAATCTGGCCGTTTACACCATGACGCTGACTGCTTGTCCCGCCATCCAGTGGACCCCCCTGAGGCTTAAGATCAAGCGCCGCCATGTGTGCTCTCTCTCTGCTTTGAGCAACATCCGTGATGAACAGCGCCGAGATCTCGTCTTGCGGGACATAATTGAGAAGCTCAACTCTCCAACGCCCC